AAAAAAAAAAAAAAAAGACTATAAGCTGCAAATTTCTATATATATATTTTATTTTTTTTAAATTGATCTAAGAGAGGAATGAAGGGAGAAAGACAGAAGCATTGATGTGAGAGAGAAACATTGATAGGTTGCCTCACTCATGTGCCCCAAATTGGGGATCAAACCTGCCACTTTTTGGTGTATGGGATGATGCTCCAACCAACTGAGCCACACCAGCCAGGACAAATTTCAAGATATTTTAAGTCAAATTCCAAAGTTTCATTTTCCTTGTCCCATACTGAGAGAGCAAGGCTGTCTCTCTCAGGCAAAGAAAACAACAGACTGAAGGCATAAAGAACTCCATCTCCCAATCCCAAAGAAAAAAATCTAATTTCTCTTCCCTTCTAAGTGCTTCTACCCAAAGATAAGACCAAGCTACAGAGAACTGTTCAAGATCTGTAGCAACACTGAACACTAAGAGGAATTTTTGTCTGTACAGTACTAATACCAACTTGAACATATCATTTTCTCCTATTATGTCCACAGTGAACTGACTCACTGGAGTCTGACGTTAGTCATGATAACCTTATGTGACTTCACTATTCCTTCTCCTCAAATCTTAGTATTAGAAATCAGGTGCCTTGTGGTTAAATAGCAGAGAAATTCCCTAGAGTAAGTCATTCTATTTACCTACTTGTCTTGATTAATGTTAATCAAGTGGGTATTTTACAAACATCCTGTTCAAAGTTCTCATGACACTCTTGGTCTCCGTTTTGCAGATAAGAGCCAACATTCAAAATAAAGTCACTTGCCCACACAAGCAGCAGGGCTAAAATGCAAACCCAGGTTTGTCTTTCTCCTAAAGTCCATCTTTTTGCCACATTATCAACTCCATTCCATTTATGTGAGTAATCTTTCCTATGAAACATGTGTCTTTCCTTGGGGACCCCCCACCCTATCAAGTTTCACTGTCAAGGACACTTAATACCGTTTATAGGATATTGAGTATATAAAGTGAAAATTTTAGTCACTTGTTAAACCTCAGATGGCTTCTCTCTCAAGTCTTTCCCGGAAGCTGTGGTTCCCCTTTACTGAATGATTTATAAAGGCAATGGAAATACAGTCCCCAGACTCCATAGTGACTGAGGGTCCACAAAAGCAGCTTCTTGAAGAAGGTATGTTTTTCACTGTTAGTAGGTTAGAGAAAGACCTGAAAGATACACAATACAAAACTGGTCTACTTCAGGTCAAGCAGAACTTAAATGCTCATCCTAGCTGAGATTTACTTATGCCCCTGACAAAGGTGAAGGATATAAGTACAGTGGAACCTCAGTTCTCAAACTTAATTCATTCCAGAAGGCTGTTCAAGAAGTGATTTGTTTGAAAACCAAATGATTTTTTCCCATTAGAAACTATGTAAATTGAATCAATCCATTCCAGACCCTCAAATGATTCCGTTTTAACCTTTCTTATATACAGTACATATCTAAGCTCTATCATTGTTTTCACAACTTTCCTTTTCACTTTGCTGCTATCACTAACCTTCTTAGGACTTATGGTGACTTATTGTACATACTTAATAATAAGCAGCAGCAACAAAAGAAAAAAGAAACACATGAAAATATTCACAGTACAATTTCCTGAGATGTTGACAACTCAGGGTTTAGCAGTAAACTGTCTCATGCTCTCGCATTCTCTCCTTTGTCACCTGAGACACATGTGACTGGTCTTATAGGTATCATAAAAGGGTTGTCTGGTGGAGAACCAAACTTCTGTTCAACAACTGAGACTTTTTTTCGGTGAACTTGATCAAGAACCGAATTTTTCGAGAACTGAGGTTTGACTAATTTAAGGAACGTTTCGCCATCTCAGGAGTAGCCAAAAATGAAGACTAAAATAGCCTTGAATATGGATATGGGATATATGTTCAATGACAGAAAAATAGGTGCAGTTTAAAATCCTCCATAATATAACAAAATCAATTTCTAACATTAAGTGAACTTGATTCCGCTTGGAAAGTGCTGCTCTTGCTAAGGTAAGCTCAACAGGACCAAACACTATGTTTCCTGTCATTCAAGTCTTCAAGAATCTGCAGTCTAGGGTCTGCAGCCAGGAGAGGTAGCCCAAGAGCCTTATTCCACAACAAAACAGAGGAACCACACACACACAGGCAATTCCATAAACCCAAATGGCTAAGAGCTAAAACTCCAGTCTAACCACTTCTACTTAACACTACTACAGAAGAATCTCATGAGTGAAGAAGCTGCATTTCTTCACAGTTTCCCATCATCAATCAGGGTTCACTCTGGTTAAGCTCATGAAATGATGTGAAAGAAGCTAGGACATTAATACCTAGTTGTGGTAGGTATTCAATAGATGTCAAAATTAGCCTTGTATTTCATTAAGGAAAATTATTTCCTCCACTGTGCCATGTGGTGACTGACATGTACAAATTGCAAACTTCAAACTGGGATTAAAGGGTTTTAAATCTTAAGCCAATGGAACCGTAATTCATTTGTATTTTCTACCCTACTAGTCCCTCAAAATATGACACTGATTTACACAAATCTAAATTGACTGCCATAGGTTAGACTTGATAAAATATTTCTTAATTTCAAATCTTCTAAAAATCCACCAATCCAATTTTTAAAAAAATTACTGTTTTCTTGAACTGTAAAAGTAACATGTTTGATTCCACTCCTATAAAATTCTAGGGAAAGTTAATCTATAGTGTTAGGAGTGGTAATCTTTGGGGGGGGGGGAGCAGTGGCTACAAAGGGTTAGGAGCGCAGCTTTCTTCTGTACAAGTAATGCTCGGTTTCTTGATTTTGGTGCTGATTACACAGGTTGGTTTCACTGTGTGACTATATAAAATCTGTACTTCTCTGTAAGAATGCTTCAATTACAAAAATACGTATTAACCTGCTTATTGGAAAGGATCTGAAAACCATCCACATTATTTTTGAAACAAAAAGAAAAACTAAGTTCAACCCACCAATATTAAAAGTAAATACTCTGAAACCGCAAAATCAATTTTAGCTGTCTCAAATAAAAAAAAAAACCTAACCACGACCGGAAGTAGGCAAGCTCTCCCAGGATTGTGGAGCTGGCAGCTAATTTGATCAGCATATAGAATGACGGCCATCACAGAGAGAAGGAATAGACATAATCTATTACAGCCCTAATAGGCATATCTAAAGCACAAGGCTACTAGGATGCTGTTTTGGGGCTAAAGAAAAACCAGACATAAACCACCTATCCTAAGGATTATCTAAACATATCTGTAACCACACCATACCTTATTTGCATTGCCTGAACTCTGAGGCCGCTGTAGTCAATCTCTTTTTGCTCAAATTCTTTCCACTCATCTTCATCCTGTAAAACACATACCATTTGATCAATTAAAGCTATTCGTAAATTTGCCACTAAGGCCAATATCAGACTGAAAACTGGATCAAGTGGCTGGAACCTAAAGTATGAACTCTGGCCTAAGCCCTGGCTTGATCTTGAGGTCGACGAGGCTGGAGGACAAACGTGCCCATTCAACACTTGTACTTCCACTCAGTTCCTTCACGAGAGCTGTTAATTTAAAATCAACCAGGAAAAGCCGAATGAAAAAGTCAATTAGTAAGTCCACAACTAAATGTCTAACTCAATGTTGCCACGTGCGTGGTTTTTTTTTGTTTTTTTTTTGTTTTTTCCGTTTTCTTTCACCGGCTTACCAAGTCATACCAACCAGAGTTGGTACAAACGCGATTGTTAGAAAATTCAGCTCCGGCTACTGGGCTGAAGTCAGTAAATTACTAAATTACTCAGAGTAGACGTCACTCGATAAATGCCGCTCGGTGCCGGGCACTTCGGACTCAGACCAGTTTCCCCTTGAGGGTGCTGCTGCCTCGGTCTTGGCTCAAGCCAAGCGACTCCGGGTGCAGACGAAGGGCGGGTCGGGAGCCGGGGAAAGGGGGTCCCGCC